TTACACTTTTGTTTCTTTCATTTTTTGATCTTTCAACATTAGAATTTTTCAGTTAATCGAATTTTTAATTATTCAATTTTTCGACATTAAATTTTCAATGATTCCATTTTTTGATTTGCAATTTTTCGAGTTTTCTGTTTTAAAGTTTTTTTCCGTTTTTTAATTTTTTATTTCTTTAATTTTTCGAATTTTCAACTTTCGGATTTTTCAATTTTTGAAATCTCATCGTCGATTCTTCAGTTTCTCATTTTCCGAGTTTTTTACTTTTGGATTGTTCAATTTTCGATTTTTTAATGTTCGTTTCATCAATTTTCCGATTTTTCAATTACATATTCCAATTTTGTTTGATTTTTATTCTGAAAGAACTGATAGGAGCTCTGGAATAAATTTAGCTGTAAAATTTGAATTTCTCAAATCTTCGACTTTTCTTTTTGACTATTCACTTTCTCAATTTATATTTTTGCGAGTTTTCAGCTTTTAGATTTTTTAGTTTTTCGATTTTACAGCCTCTCGATTCTTTAATTTTTCAATTTCTCGACTTTTCAATTTTGCGGTTTTCAATTTTTCCATTTTACGGTATTTACAAGTTTTCGAATCTTCAGTTTCTCAGTTTTTGATTTTTTGATTTTTCATCATAGATTTTTCAATTTTCAGTTTGTTTACTTTTGGTTCATCAATTTTCCGACTTTTCGATTATTGCAATTTCGGAATTGTGTTTTGAATTTTTCAATTTTACGCTTTTGTTTCTTTCATTTTTTGATCTTTCAACATTAGAATTTTTCAGTTTATCGAATTTTTAATTATTCAGTTTGTCGACATTCAATTTTCAATGATTCCATTTTTTGATTTGCAATTTTTCGAGTTTTCAGTTGTAAAGTTTTTTTCCGTTTTTTAATTTTTTATTTCTTTAATTTTTTGAATTTTCAACTTCCGGATTTTTCAATTCTTGAATTCTTATCATCTTCGATTCTTCAGTCTCTCATTTTTCGATTTTTTAACTTTTGGATTGTTCAATTTTCGATTTTTTAACGTTCGTTTCATCAATTTTCCGATTTTTCAATTACAGATTCCAATTTTTTTGATTTTTATTCTGAAAGAACTGATAGGAGTTCTCGTATGTAAAATCTGAATTTCTCAATTCTTAGATTTTTCTTTTTGACTATTCACTTTCTCAATTTTTAATTTTTCGAGTTTTCAGCTTTTGGATTTTTCAGTTTGTCGTTTCATCAGTCTTCCAATTTTTCAATTATTGCAATTTTGAATTTTATTTTGAATTTTTCATTATTACGGTTTTTCAATTTGCAATTTTTCGATATTTTAGTTTCTCGTTTTTTAATTTTTAGTATTTTTTTAGTTTTCAATCTTAAATTTTACAGTTTTTCGATTTTTCAATCTCTCGATTTTTTAATTTTTCAATTTCTCGACTTTTCAATTTTCGGTTTTCAATTTTTCCATTTTACGGCATTTACAATTTTTCGAATCTTCAGTTTCTCAGTTTTTGATTTTTTGATTTTTCATCTTAGATTTTTCAATTTTCATTTTTTTTACTCTTGTTTCATCAATTTTCCGACTTTTCGATTATTCCAATTTCGGATTTGTGTTTTGAATTTTTCAATTTTACACTTTTGTTTCTTTCATTTTTTGATCTTTCAACATTAGAGTTTTTCAGTTTTTCGAATTTTTAACTATTCAATTTCTCGTGTTTAAATTTTCAATTACTCCATTTTTTGATTTGCAATTTTTCGAGTTTTCAGGTTTTAAAGTTTTTTCCGTTTTTTAATTTTTTATTTCTTTAATTTTTTGAATTTTCAACTTTCGCATTTTTCAATTCTTGAATTCTCATCGTCGATTCTTCAGTTTCTCATTTTTCGATTTTTTAAATTTTGGATTGTTCAATTTTCGATTTTTTAATGTTCGTTTCATCAATGTTCCGATTTCTCAATTACATATTCCAATTTTGTTTGATTTTTATTCTGAAAGAACTGATAGGAGTTCTCGAATAAATTTAACCGTATGTAAAATCTGAATTTCTCAATTCTTCGATTTTTCTTTTTGACTATTCACTTTCTCAATTTTTAATTTTTCGAGTTTTCAGTCTTTGGATGTATCAGTTTGTCGTTTCCTCAATCTTCCAATTTTTCAATTATTGCAATTTTCAATTTTAATTTGAATTTTCAGTTTTACAGTTTCTCGATTTGCAATTTTTCGATATTTTAGTTTCTCGTTTTTTAATTTTTAGTATTTATTTTGTTTTCAATCTTAAATTTTACAGTTTTTCGATTTTACAATCTCTCGATTTTTTAATTTTTCTATTTCTCGACTTTTCAATTTTGCGGTTTTCAATTTTTCCATTTTACTGCATTTACAATTTTTCGATTCTTCACTTTCTCAGTTTTTGATTTTTTGATTTTTCATCTTAGATTTTTCAATTTTCGCTTTTTTTACTTTTTGTTTCATTAATTTTCCGACTTTTCAATTATTCCAATTTTGGATTTGTGTTTCGCATTTTTCAATTTTACACTTTTGTTTCTTTAATTTTTTGATCTTTGAATTTTAGAATTTTTCAGTTTTAAAGTTTTTTTCCATTTTTTAGTTTTTTAATTCTTCAATTCTTCATTTTTTCAATTTTCCATTTTTTAATGTTCGTTTCATCAATTTTCCGATTTTTCAATTATTCCAATGTTGTTTGATTTTTATTCTGAAAAAACTGATAGGAGTTCTCGAAGAAATTTAGCCGAATTTATATTTACATTTATAGGTCGAAATCTACAAAAAGGCTTCCTTCAGTAATTTTTGAAGGTGACAATAAAAGGTCTAAATTTTCACAAGTAGGTACTGAAAACTGAGCTTTTAATAAAGTTTTCTAGAAAGCCATAAACAAAGTTGAGATATAAATCTTGAATTGTGATTCGAAAAATATAGCGTTATAGTGATGAAACAAGATTTTAGTAATTTTCATGTTGAAATTAATTTTTAACTATAAAAAACTGCCATAATTCATTGGCGAACATTGACATCTGGCAAAATGTTAGAAATCGAAGAAATGAGACTGAAAGTAACTTCTGACTGTCAAAATCTACAAAAAAAATCCGCAAAAATTCCCGAAAAATTCTTGGGTATATATAGAATTCGATGTACTATTTAATTTGGGAAATACAGCATGCTTATGGTAGAGGATTTTAGAAATATTGAGTATGAGTTTTCTAAGAAATGAGGTCAAAAGTAATTCTCGAGGTCGAATTTTAGAAAAAAAAAAATCAATCCTTCGGTAATTTTCGAAGGTGGTTGGAAAAAGGTCAAAATTTTGATTGAAACTGAATTGTTTGAAAAATTGAATTAGGTAAGTTTAAAGGTAGTCGAAAAAGTGTCAAAATTTTCATAAAAGAGGAGTATTAAAAAATGGAGCTTTTGAAAAAAGTTCGTGAGTACTGTGTCTTTTTTAAGAAATTAAAAGAATCTCGGTACCCTTGGTATTTTATGTTAGAAAGAATTTGAGCTTTTGAAAAAGTTGTCTGAAAATTCATAAAAATCTGAGACATATATCAATCATGCTGTTCAAAAAAAATATATCGTGTTTATGATCGATATATAACTATGAATTCGAAAAATGCAACATTTTTATGGGCCAGATTTTAGAAATTTTAGATTTGATTTTTTTTTTATACCTAACAATTACCAAATTTCATTGGACTGTTCTGGAAAATGGCCTTAAGTAACTTCTGAAGGTCTAAATATACAAGAAAATCTCTTTGAGTAATTTTTGTAGCTCTGCTCCATAAAAGGTCGAAATTTTCATTGAAAAATTGATGTTTTAAAATTGTTGCCTAAAAATTGACAAAATATTTTGGAATATAGATCCCGATGTCTTGATTCGAGTAAAATAGCGTGTTTATTGTACCGGAACAAAATTTTCGAAATATACGGTTTGAAATTCAGTTCTTTAAAAAAATCCCAAACATTTGCTGTAATTCAATGGGCGATAAGAATACTAGAAGGTTTAAAAGAAGTAAGACCGTAAGTAACTTCTGGACGTCGAAATCTACAAAAAAAAAATCACAAGTAATTTTGAAAGGTGGTTGAAAAAAGTCAAAATGTTCATAAAAGCGGATTAAAAAATTACGTTTTTGAAAAAGTTTTCTAAAAATCCACCCAAAAAAAAAACAGGATATATTTCTCGACGTACGTACTTGTTTGAAAAATATGGCGTGTTGATAATCCCTAAACAAGATTTTAGAAACATTATTATTATTTGAAATTGTATATATTTTTTTAAATTCTAAAAATTGACATATTTTTGTTTGGGCGATTCTAGGCAAATGATAGAAGTTTATGGCGAAGTGAGGTCAGAAGAAACTTTTGGTGAACAAAATCAATGAAAACATCCCGTTTGGAAATTTTCGAAATTGATCGATAAAACGTCGAAATTTCCATAAAGGGGAAATACTGAATAATTCGTCCCTTCCATTTTATATCCTAAAAATTAGCATATTTCGTTGGGGTATTTTGGAAAAATTGAAAGAATTAAAAAAAAAATTAAGCCCTAACTTCTGGAGGTCGGAATCTACAAAAAAACCTCCTTAGATAAGTGTCGAGGGTGGTGGAAAAAGTGTCAAAATTTTCATAAGTAGTGAATACTGAGTTTTTGATAAAACTGTCAAAAAATCCATTAAAAAATTAGGAGATATAAATATTGAATTAGTGACCCGAAAAATTCAATTTTATTATCGATATTGAAAAAATTTTCATAATTCATTGCGTTTCTAGAAAAATGTTTGGTGTTTTCGAAAAAAATGAGGCCACAATAACTTCTAAACGTCGAAATCTACAAAAAATAATCTCCTTAGGTGATGTTTGAAGCTGGTTGGAAAAAGATCAAAATTTTCATAACTGAATTTTGCCTTTTCATTGAAAAACTGGGCTTTTGAAAATACAGTATTTTATGGTAGAGCATTTTAGAAATATTCTATGTAAATATTAATTTTTCAAAAAATCCTAAAAATTGTTATATTTTATAGGGCGGTTCTGGAAAAACGGTATGAGTTTTCGAAGAAATGAAGTCAAAATTAACTTCTCGAGATAAAAATCTACAAACAATGTATTTCGCTAATTTTTGAAGGTGGTCGGAAAAAGGTCAAAATTTTGTTGACTGAAAATGAAAATTTGTGAAAAAAATACCAAAAGGACTACAAAAATCCCTGGAAATAGATTTCGAGGTACCGGTCTGAGAAATACTAGTGGTCTGGAAGAACTCTTTGGAATTCAATTCTTAAAAAATTACCAGATATTGCCATATTTAATTGGTTGTTTCCGGAAAAAACGGTAGGAGATTTCGACGTGATGAAGCTAAAAGTCACTTCCCCAGGTCGAAATCTAAAAAGAAATCTCCTTAGGTTAGTTTTGAAAGTGGTCGAAAAGTGTCAAAATTTTCATAAAGGGGGAGTATTAAAGCATTAAGCTTTTGAAAAAAGTTCGTCAGTATTGTGTTTTTTTTTTAATTAAAAGAATCTCGGTACCCTTGGTATTTTATTTTAGAAAGAATTTGAAAAAATATTCCACACTTTTGATGTTTTCATTTTGAAGGAACTGAAAAATCCCCTAAAATCCCTAGTATTTTGTTCTTGAAATCAATTTAAATTGTGCGCTTTTTTTAAGAGTTTAGTAAAAGAAACTTGGGGCTCCCGGTGTTTTCATTTTGAAACAATTCCTATTTTTCTTAGAAAAAGAAAGTTGGAATTTTTGGTGAGTTTTTTTACGCTCGAAATTTTCACGAGGGGGAAGTATTGAAAAACTGAGCTTTTGAAAAAGTTGTCAGAAAATTAATAAAAAAATCTGGGACATATTTAAACTTGACGTGCTGATCAAAAAAATATAACGTGTTTATAATCCCGGAGCATGATTATACATAGAAACATTCGGGTTGAAATAATGTTTTCGAGCTTTTGAAAAAGTTGTTTACTAATCCAAAAAACTTCTGCAATTCGACCTATTAATTCCAAAAATACAGCATTTTTATGGTCAAGATTTTAGAAAATTTCGATTTTTTTAATACGTATTATAAATAACCAGATTTCATTGACGGTTCTGGAAAAATGGTAGGAGTTTCGAAAAATTGGCCTCAAGTAACTTCTGAAGGTCGAAATCTACAAGAAAATCTCTTTGGGTATTTTTTGAAGCTGGTTGATAGAAGGTCAAAAATTTTCGTTGAAAAATTGAGCTTTTGAAAAAGTTGCCTAAAATTGCAAAACATTTTGGAATATAGATCTGTATGTACTGATTCTAGTAATATAGTGTGCTTAATGCGAAATTTTTTAAATATTCGGTTTGAAATTCAATTTTTTAGAAAGATTGTAAACATATAAATTCACTGAGCAGTTCTGGAAGAGGAAGATTTAAAAGAAGTGAGGCCGAAAGCAACTTCTGGACGATTAAATCTAAAAAAGAAGAAATACGTAGGTAATTTTCTAAGTTGGTCGAAAAAATAAATCGGTTAATAAATTAATAATTTCTTTTTTGTTTCCTAATTCATTGGGCGATTCTGGAAAAATTTAAAGAATTTAAAAAAGAATGAAATCGGTACTTCTCGAAGTCGAAATCTATAAAAAAAGTCTCCTTGGGCTCAAAAGTAACTTTTCGAGTCGAAATTGACCAAAAAAATTCGTTCGGTAATTTTTGAAGTGGTCGGAAAAAGGTAAAAATTTTGATGTTTGAAATTGAATTGATTGAAAAATTGAATTTCTGGAAAAGATACTAGAACAATTCTTTTAGATAGATTTCGGTGTACCGTTCCGATAAATGTTGTTCGGTTTGAAATTACATTCAAAAATTCTTAAATATTGCCATTAATAATTGGTTGCTTCTGGACAAAACGGTAGGAGTGTTCGACATAATGAAGCTGGAAGTCAGTTCCCGAGATCGAACTCTAAAAAAAATCTCCTTAGGTAAGTTTCGAAGGTGGTCGAGCTTTTGATTGAGCTTTTGAGAAGGTTTCCTAAAAATTGCTAAAAATTTTGGAATATAGATCTCGATGTCCTGATTCGAGTAATGTAGTGTGATTATTGTCCTGGAGCAAAATTTTACAAATATTCGGTTTGAAATTCAATTCTTTAAAACGTCGAAAGTGGTCGAAAAAATGTCAAAATTTTCATAAAAGAGAACTGAAAAATAGCATTTTTGAAAAAGTTTTTTAAAAATTCAGACAAAAAATATAGGATGTATTTCTCGATGTACTGGTTTCAAAAATATCGCCTGTTTATGATTTTAAAAATATTGTATTTGAATTTTTTTTTTAAATTTTGAAAATTGACATATTTGTTTGGGTGATTCTGGACAAATGGTAGGCGTTTATGAAGAAGTTTGATTAAAATCTACAAAAACATCCCCTTTGGTAATTTTCTAAACTGATGATCGATAAAACGTCGAAATGGTCATAAAGGGGAAGTACTGAATAATTTGGTTGTATCCTAAAAATTACCATATTTCATTGAGCGATTCTGGAAAAATTTAAAGAGTTTTCAGAAAAATGACGCCGTAACTTTGGAAGTTGAAATTTACAAAAAACTGTAAGTCATTTTCGTATTTAGCCAACAAAAAGGTTGAAATTTTCATGGAGTTAAGCTTTTGTAAAAAAATGTTTAAAATAATTGCTAACTCAGTTACACTATAAGACTCTTATATTATAGCAACAAATAATGTTAGAATTTTGTTACAGAACATAAATTTAATACGACGATATAACTACGGTATATAAATAGTCCTGTAAGATTTTTGTTATATAACTCGTATATCTTGGGCTGTCTAGAAAATGACTATTATTTTATACGTCGTATATTTTTATTTATACCCTCAAACTACAAAAGAATTAACAACACATACTAGTTTTATTTTGCTTAAATATAACTCTCCTCTCGTTCAAATAACTACGTTTAAATTATTTTTTCATGAATTATCACTTTTCAACCACAACAAAAATTGTAAACAAAAACACTCCCGCTAAAAATAAACTCACAATAAAAAATCACCCCACCGCTCACCCATCGGTTATTTTTAACAGGTATAATTCTTTGATAAGAACCAACAAGCTCGATAAACACCTAAATGGATCTCAAGTGTTTTCATGGACGCCGTCGTCTCGGCGCTCACAATACTCAGTTTCAAAATAATCGCGTATTAAACAACATCGCACAATGCAAGTCCTCCATTTCACCCTAGTCCCTTTATTCGTCCTCTCCTGGATCTGCCTCCTCATCCTAATCAGAAACAACCTACCCCACACCTCAATCCAACTCAACATCAACGCAAACCGAAACACAATCTCCAACTACAACTTCCAAACCACCCCCAAACACAACGAACAAAAAAACAAAATCAAGAAATACCACGTCCCGAAGTTCATGCTGGAGTTGTACGAGAGGAACAAAATGAAAAAGGACAACCGGACATTGCCTGATGTTGTGCGCAGTTTAATCCCGAAACATGCAGGTGGGTTGTCAATTTTGTCACAAGAGTGGAAACAAGAAACATTTGGTTGTAGGTCCGATACGCGAGAACGAAGTGGTGAAAGAGTCGGACAACCACCTTCTAGTTTTCGATTTACCGAACTCCGATGAAGAAGAGGAGTTCGTGGGGGCGGAGCTGCGAATTTTGACTTTGGTCGAAATTAAATCTGATGTCATTTCCGGAGTTGAAAGGCAGCTGAAAGTGTCGATTTATGATGACGCAACCAAGACGTTTTATAGTTTGGAGGAGGTGCGCATTTATCACTTGAATAACACTTGGTTGTCGTTTAACGTGACGAAACCTGTGGTTGAGGTTTTGAGGAAAAGTGGCAGGGAGAAGTACTTGAAGATAGTGATTTCGGTGAGTGCGTTTTTGCCGTACTACGAGAACCCGGGGGGTGATTTTAGGTTGTCTTTGATGCCCGTGAGGGACGATTTTGACCACGACTATCCCATTCTGCTCTTGTCATACTCGTCTAGTCGAAGGAATAGTAGTGGGGAAAGTGGTACCAGAACGAAACGAAGTATTGAAGAAGATTACGAAGAAGAGACCAATAGAGTGTGGGACGACGATAATGCTAAGAAAACTCAAGTGAAGAAAATCAGGAGGAACACCTGTCGCAGAAAACCTCTCTACATAGATTTTACCGAGATAAATTTCGACATGTGGATCGTTCAGCCCCGTGGATACGAAGTACGCACTTGGGTTGTTAAAATGTTTGGGTTAATTGTTGCTTTCAGGCGTACCAATGCCAAGGCAAGTGTTTTTATCCAGTGGCTGAACATCTCAACCCCACGAAACACGCTATCGTTCAAGCTCTTCTCCACAGCGTCTCGCCTTCCAAGGTTTCGAGGTCCTGCTGCGTCCCAACAAACCTAGATTCTATATCTATCCTCTATGTTGACAACAACGGCGTTCTCACCTATCGGTACGCTTACAAGGATATGGTAGTTCTAGAATGTGGTTGTAGATAATCTAGTTGTTTGCTAATAAATTTTGTCACAGATGTTGTTCTAATTCCGTAGATTTGAATTATTTTCTCTGTGTGTCATCGAACGATAATTTAAGAAATTTTGGAGATTATCTGCCCAGTAAAGATCGATACAGACGGCAGACAGACGGACGAAAACAGATTTCATCGTGCTAATTCCAAAAATGTATTTATGGTTCCGCAGCAAGATCTGAGAAATATTCTGTTTGAAAATCCCGAAAAAATGAAAAAATAGAGGAGTTGTCGAAGAAATGAGGCTGAAACCAATGTCTGGAAGTCGAAATCTATTAAAAAATGTCTTTCGTTCAATTTTAAAAATTCAGAAAACACACGATTTATTTCAGTATTACCTTAGATATTTTTTTATAGAAATTATTTACTTTTTGGCAAAATAAACATTATTATTATCACATTTGCCAAAATTAGTCTTATCCTAGATAGTAGCTGCTAAGATAAAACTGATTTTGGCAAATGAAATAACTTCTAAGAAAAGAGAGGGTATCAATTTCTAATTTTTCAGTTTTCAATTTTCCAACTTTTGAATTTTCCCAATTTTTCAATTCAAAATTTAATTATATAATAAAATTAAAATCTAATATAATAAAAATTGAAAACTGAAATTCAATTTTTATTATATTAGATTTTATAATTTTTCTTTATTTCAATGTGAAATTTTTCAATTTTTGGGTTTTCCAATTTTTCAATTCAATTCGTTTTTGCTTCTTTCCAATATTTCGATTAATAAATTGTTTTCGATTTTTAAGTCTCCGGACTTTTAGTTTTTTAATGTTTCAATTTTTCGTTTCTTGAGTTCTTTTTGCAATTTTTCGAGTTTTTAAGTTTGAATTTTATTTTTTTTAAATTTTCCAACTTTTTTAGATTTTGCAATGTTTCAACCCAAAATTTCTCGAGTTTTCAATTCTTTAATTTTTCATTTCTTCAAATTTTCGATTTACAATTTTTCCTTCAGCTTTTTCATTTTTCGAGTTTTCAAGTTCCAATTTTTCAGTTTTTCAATTTTCCAACTATTGAATTTTTCAATTTTTCGATTAAAAATTTCTAGTTTTTATATTTTAATATCTCAGTTCTTTAATTTTTCGTTTCTTCATATTTTCGATTGCAGTTTTTCGTTTCGGTTTTTTATTTTCTTTGTTTTTTCAATTTTCGGGTTTTCAGTGTTCTGATTTTATAATTTTTCATCAATTTTAAGTTTAAATTATTCAGTTTTTCAATTTTCCGATTCTTTAATTTTTCATTTCTGCAAATTTTTGATTTACAATTTTTCGTTGTTATTTATTTTCTTAATTTTTACAAGTTTCCATTCTTCAATATTCCGAATTTATAATTTTTTGTTTTTTCACTTTCAATTTTTTGTTTCTTCAATTTTTCAATTTATTATTTCAGGAGTTTTCAATTTATAATTTTTTAGTTTTAGATTTTCCAACTTTTGAATTTTTCCAATTTTCAGATTTTGCAATTTTTCATTTCAAAATTTTTAGTTTTCAATTTTTCGATTATTTAATTTTTCATTTCTACAATTCAAATCGATCTTAGCTTAGCGGGTACTAGCCCCGCCCACCCACCATATCTTTCCTTAGGGTGTTCCTCATTTGCCAAAATCAGTCTTATTCTAGCTAGTATCTGCTAAGATAGAACTGATTTTAGCAAATTAATTACCCTCTATACAAAAAGAGGGTAGGTGGGCGGGCCTAGTAGCTGCCTTCAGTTTTTCATTTTCCAACTTTTGAATTTTTCCGATTTTTAAATTTTTAATTTTTCAATTTTTCGGTTCATTAATTTTTCATTTCTACAAATTTTCGATTTGCAATTTTTTGTTTCGGTTTTTTTATTTTATTTATTTATTTTCGATTTTTCAATGTTCAGAATTTATAATTTTTTGTCTTTTTACTTTAAATTTTTTCAATTTTTCGTTTCCGCAATTTTTCAATTTACAATTTCACGAGTTTTCAATTTCTAATTTTTCAGTTTTCGATTTTCAAACTTTTGAATTTTTCCAATTTTTCAATTCAAAATTTTCAGTTTTCAATTTTTATTATAGTAGATTTTGTAATTTTTCTTTATTTCAATGTGAAATTTTTCAATTTTTGGGTTTTCCAATTTTTCAATTTAATTCGTTTTTGCTTCTTTACAATATTTCGATTAATTAATTTTTTTCGATTTTTAAGTCTCCGGGTTTTTAGTTTTTTTATTATTTTTCGTTTCTTCAGTTCTTTTTGCAATATTTCGAGTTTTTAATTTTAAATTTTAAATTTTTTTAAATTTTCCAATCTATGAATTTTTTCAATTTAGATTTTGCAATGTTTCAAACCAAAACTTCTCGAGTTTTCAATTCTTTAATTTTTCATTTCTTCAAATTTTCGATTTGCAATTTTTCCTTCAGCTTTTTCATTTTTCGAGTTTTCAGTTTTTCGTTTTTTCAACAATTGAATTTTTCAATTTTTAGATTTTGCAATTTTTCGATTAAACATTTCTAATTTTTCAGTTTTCGATTTTCCAACTTTTGAATTTTTCCAATTTTTCAATTCAAAATTTTCAGATTTCAATTTTTATTATATTAGATTTTATAATTTTTCTTTATTTCAATGTGAAATTTTTCAATTTTTGGGTTTTCCAATTTTTCAATTCAATTCGTTTTTGCTTCTTTCCAATATTTCGATTAACTAATTTTTTCGATTTTTAAGTCTCCGGATTTTGGGTTTTTTAATGTTTCAATTTTTTGTTTCTTCAGTTCTTTTTGCAATTTTTCGAGTTTTTAAGTTTAAATTTTTAATTTTTAAAAATTTTCCAACTAATGAATTTTTTCAATTTTTAGATTTTGCAATGTTTGAACTCTAAAGTTCTCGAGTTTTCAATTCTTTAATTTTTCATTTCTTCAAATTTTCGATTTGCAATTTTTCCTTCAGCTTTTTCATTTTTCGAGTTTTCAGTTTTTCAATTTTCAAAAATTCAAAAATTTCAAAATTTAAAAATTTTTGAATTTTTAAATTTTGCAATTTTTCGATTACAAATTTCTAGTTTTTAAACTTTAATATCTCAAATTTTTGGATTCTTTAATTTTTCGTTTCTTCATATTTTCGATTTGCAATTTTTCGTTTCGGTGTTTTATTTTCTTTGTTTTTTCAATTTTCGGTTTTTCAGTGTTCTGATTTTATAATTTTTCATCAATTTTATGTTTTAATTATTCAGTTTTTCAATTTTTCGATTCTTTAATTTTTCATTTCTGCAAATTTCGATTTACAATTTTTCGTTGTTTTTAAATATTTTCTTAATTTTTACAAGTTTTCGGTTTTTCAATATTCCGAATTTATAATTTTTTGTGTTTTCACTTTCAATTTTTCAGTTTATTATTTCAGGAGTTTTCAATTTCTAATTTTTCAGTTTTCGATTTTCCAATTTTTGAATTTTTCCAATTTTTCAATTCAAAATTTTCAGTTTCAATTTTTATTATATGAGATTTTACAATTTTTCTTTATTTCAATGTGAAATTTTTCAATTTTTGGGTTTTCCAATTTTTCAATTCAATTCGTTTTTGCTTCTTTCCAATATTTCGATTAATTAATTTTTTTCGATTTTTAACGCTCTGGATTTTTGGTTTTTTAATGTTTCAGTTTTTCGTTTCTTTAGTTCTTTTTGCAATTTTTCGACTTTCTAAGTTCAAATTTTGAATTATAAAAATTTTCCAACTTTTGAATTTTTTCAATTTTTAGATTTTGCGATGTTTCAAGTCAAAATTTCTCGAGTTTTCAATTCTTTAATTTTTCATTTCTTCAAATTTTCGATTTGCAATTTGTCCTTCAGCTTTTTCACTTTTCGAGTTTTCAAGTTTCAATTTTTGAGTTTTTCAATTTTTCAATTTTTAGATTTTGCAGTTTTTCGATTAAAAATTTCTAGTCTTTAAATTTTAATATGTCAAATTTTTGGATTCTTTAATTTTTCGTTTCTTCGTATTTTCGATTTCCAATTTTTCGTTTCGGTTTTTTATTTTCTTTGTTTTTTCAATTTTCGGTTTTTCACTATTCTGATTTTATAATTTTTCATCAATTTTAAGTTTAAATTATTCCGTTTTTGATTTTTCGATTCTATAATTTTTCATTTCTGCAAATTTTCGATTTACAATTTTTCGTTGTTTTTTATTTTCTTAATTTTTACAAGTTTCCGATTTTTCAATATTCGGAATTTATAATTTTTGTTTTTTCACTTTCAATTTTTCGTTTCTTCAATTTTTCAATTTACTGTTTCAGGAGTTTTTAATTTCTAATTTTTTAATTTTAGATTTTCCAACTTTTGAAATTTTGCAATTTTCAGATTTTGCAATTTTTCATTTCAAAATTTTTAGTTTTCAATTTTTCGATTATTTAATTTTTCATTTCTTCAATTCAAATCGATCTTAGCTTAGCAGGTACTAACCCCGCCCACCCGGGGTTAGCATTTAGCATTTAGAAAACTAAATGTATTAATTAAAAAAGAAAACCTAAAGAGAAGCCCCACCCATTCGTCTCGATCTCAATCGTGATGAATTTTGTATTCGTTGTCAGACCGAGGGGCGGAGCCTAATTGCAAAATCGTTACTTTCCTACAAAAATTTACCAGTTTAAATATGTTTTACCTTTCTTGTTGTGAACCAAAGACTACACATATTAAGAAAAAAGGGCAAAATCTAAGCCCTTGTAGTTATAATACCTAATATGTCATCCAGGGATTTTTTGTGCGTCTCCATACCACTATTTGGACTGATATATACTTTCACTAAATAAGCAGTAGGCACCTAGTTCCACACTAGCAAAACCTTTTCCCTTATTATCTAGTTCTACAACGTGACTATAGATAATCTAGTTGTTTGTTAACAAATTTTGTCACAAGTGTCAAAATTTTTGTCTAAAATGAAACGCTCGCAAAGACTGACTTGGAGCAAGGACTTTCGCGGTCGCCCCACCCCGAAAAAGCCCCCCAAGAAGAAAGCCGCCAGGGTGAAGAACATCCTATCGAGAAACCCCTTCTTGAATTTTCTGCGCGACTTCCGAAACTGGAACCCGAGACTCGCTAGCAGCCAGTTGATGCAAAAAGGGGCGGAGTTGTGGCGCAGCATGAGCGATAGACACAAGTTGCTGTATTGCCAACTGGCCAAGCACGCTCCAGTGAAAAAGAAGAAGAAAATCGTCAAGGCAAAACGTGGCAACGTTGTGAGGGCGACCAGATGCAGGAGACGTTAGTAATTTTGGTGTATCGAGTGAAATAAAGTACTACAGTAACCTAAGTTTTAATTGAGCACCAGTCTTCACACAGCACAAATTAATTAAACATAGCACTACACATTTCATTGTTTTTGCGGTTGAGGGAGTACGTAGTACCCGGAATGGGGGTTTTCTTGTACTTGGCGATGCGCATCTTGTGTTTACTGCCGGGGATGCGCTCGATTTTGAAGATGTTGTGTCTGGAAGAAGAACACGTAGCACAAAATATACCTTGAAATAAGTACCCACCTGAAGGTAGAGTCCGGGGTTGTCACTCTCATACACAGATTCATATTCCCGGAAAAGTCTATGTCGGATTTGAGGTTCAACCTTGGCTCGACGGACGCACTAAATTCCACCTGGGACCTCACGAAAGCCGTGTCTATGGCGATCAACCCATTGGTAACAATCCCAGCCCTACAATACAAACTCAGCCCTAAACCATCACACCCATTTAAAAAATACGTACGATTTTTCCACCACCGAATCCGCGGTACGACTCCAAATCGAAATCTCTATGTTCCCCGACAAGTCGAACGACGCTCCCCCTTTTAGATTAAACTCAGCGATGAACCCAGGCCCTAACCTCACATATTCCAAATGGTCCTGAAGCAAAACCAGCGCCTGGAACGCCGTGGTACGCTCGGAAGCAGTACCCGACCATACGTGACCCATCAATTCACCCTGTCCCGTGAAAAACACAAACGGGCGAATTTGGGTGTCCAAAATGGTAAGTTCCATCCCAGCCGTTGCCGTTTCCTCGTCACCTTCCACTTCACCACCCATGAAACTACTCAACCCTCCAGCGAAGATCCCTAACTACACTACCGTTATTATTATTAGGTGACAAGTTCCTACTTACACTAAACATCTCTTTGGTCGCGCCGTTTTTATTCAATACCACGTTGACGATCCCTCTTTTGACAATCCCAGCGAAGATTTCCTGGATGGTTACCAGACTCCCGTTCGCCGATGGGTTCCGCAGGAAGCTGCGTTTCAACGCTGTGGATAAACCCTTGGGTGACAGAATCTCGTAGTTGTTGATTGTGGGGTCGCTTTTGATGAGGTCGGCGAGTCGAGAACTAAAGGAAGGGTCTTCGTCTGCCAACATCTGCAGGCGCTGCATGACGTACTGTTTGACTTCGACACTCGAATCGTTTACTTTGAGGTAGTGGAGCATGTCTTGGAGGACGTTGTTCGACGGCTGGGATTCTAGAAGGATATCGATAGCTTGGGTCCGGGAACTGCTGTCGTACTTCTTGTCTAGTTGCAAGAAGGTGCGTCGAGCGGTTTTGAGTACTTCGGCGTCCCATAGAGACGGGTCCATTGATCGAAGGGCTTTGAAAGCAAGGACTCCCTCTTTGAAACTTCCGTCTTTGATTGTTTGTAAGAGCAGGGGTACTGTGGTAGGGCTTTTGAGATTTTTTAAGGCCCGAAGGAAGGCGTAGCGGCTTTCCCCTTTTGCGTAGTTTAGGTTGTTGACTATTACTTCTTGCGCGGATCCGATTATCTGGGGAAAAAATCGGTTGAAAGGTATTTTAACAGAACTTTCCTCGCTCCTGGAGTACAGTAGAACAAATCTACCTTTTTCGAAATATTATAGGACTTTATTTGGAGAATTTTATTTTATAAGTCAAAATAAAAATATGTGTGTAATGTTAAAGTAAAGGGCGTTTGTTTTGGGAGAGTTTTGTAATTACAATTTTTTTTTATGACGTCATCAACATTTTTGCAAGGACAATTATTTGGGTAGGATAGGGAATCTCTGTGAGTTTTCATTTTAAAATTTTCCAGTATTCCGATTTTCCAAATTTTAGATTTTGCAATTTTTTGATTTGTAATTTCTGGTTTCCGTTTTTTATTATCTCAATTTTTCGGTTTTTCGATGTTCCGATTTAATAACTTTTTTCAAAGTGAAATTTTTCAGTTTTTGGATTTTTATTTTTTTTGATTTGAGTTTCTCGAGATTTCAATTTTTCCTTCCGGTTTTTTATTTTCTTTATTTTTATTTTTTTTTTCAATATTTCAAATTTATAATATATTGTTTTTTTTTCCACTTTAATTTTTGAAAATTTTTATTTATTCGATTTTTCGATTGTGCGATTTTTCAAATTTTTATTTTTTTATATCTTCAATTTTTAGATTTTGCAATTTTTTGATTGAGTTAATTGTTCGATTCTTTAATTTTTCATTTCTTCACATTTTCGATTTCTTAATGATTTTATAATTTTTTTTCAATGTGAAATTTTTGTTTTTGGATTTTAAATTTTTTTGATTTGAGTTTCTTGAGTTTACAATTTTAATTTTTCAATTTTTCCATTTGCAATTTTTCTTTCCGGTTTTTTATTTTCTTTATTTTTTCAATTAATTTTTTTCAATGTTTCAAGTTTATAATCTATTGTTTTCTCCGCTTTAATTTTTGCAACTTTTTATTTATTCGATTTTTCGATTGTGCGATTTTTCAATTTTTTATTTTTTATTTTAGATTTTGCAATTTTTTGATTGAGTTAATTTTTCGATTCTTTAATTTTTCATTTTTTCAAATTTTCGATTTCTTAATGTTCGGATTTTTAATTTTTTGTTTTTTCAATTTCAATTTTTTGTTTTTTAATTCTCGGGTTTATATATAATTTTTCAATTTCTTCAACTTTTGGAGTTTCAATTTTTAGATTTTGTAATTTTTCCGTTTGCAATTTGATAAGTTTTCAATTTTTAATTTTTCAGATTGTAAATTTCATTTCTTAAATGTTTCTTTTCGTTTTTTTATTTTTTTTAATTCTTCGGATTTTCAGTGTTCTGATTTTAGTTTTTCTTTTTTCAATGTGAAATTTTTCAATTTTTGGATTTTTCATTTTTTCGACTTGCAGTTTTTCAATTTTTCATTTTTTTTGTTTCTTCATTTTTACGATATGAATCTCTCTAAGTTTTCATTTTCAAATTTTCCAGTATTCCGATTTTCCAAATTTTAGATTTTCCAATTAATTTGTAATTTCTCGTTTCGGTTTTATATTATCTCAGTTTTTCGGTTTTTCGATGTTCCGATGTAATAACTTTTTTCAAAGTGAAATTTTTCAGTTTTTGGATTTTTAATTTTTTTGATTTGAGTTTATCGAGTTTTTTTTCCACTTTAATTTTTGCAACTTTTTCTTTATTCGATTTTTCGATTGTAGATTTTTAAATTTTTAATTTTTTTATTTCTTAAATTTTTAATTTTGCAATTATTTGATTGAGTTAGTTTTTCGATTCTTTAATTTTTCATTTCTTCACATTTGCGATTTCTTAATGTTCCGATTTTATAATTTTTTGTTTTTTTTATTTCGATTTTTCATTTTTTACATGTTCGTTTCGGTTTTTTTTCAATTTTTCGGTTTTTCGATGTTCTAATTTTATAGTTTTTCTTTTCGTTTTTTTCTTATTTTTTTTTAATTCTTCGGTTTTTCAGTGTTCTGATTTTACTTTTTCTTTTTTCAATGTGAAATTTTTCAATTTTTGGATTTTTCATTTTTTCGATTTGGAGTTCTTCAGTTTTTCATTTTTACGATATGAATCTCCTCGAGTTCTCATTTCAAACTTTTCAGTATTCCGTTTTACAACTTTTGGATGTTCCATTTTTAGATTTTGCCATTTTTCGATTTGTAATTTCACGAGTTTTCAATTTTCAGTTGTCAGTTCTTGGATTTTATAAATTTTCATTTCTTCAATTTTTCGATTTGCAGTTTTTTCTTTCGGTTTTTTATTTTCCCAATTTTTCGGTTTTTCCATGTTCTGATTTTATAACTTTTTTTCACTATGAAAATTTTCAGTTTTTGGATTTTCCATTTTTTCGTTTTCAGTTTATCCAGTTTTCAATTTTTCGATTTGCAATTTTTCCTTCCGGTTTTTCTTATGTATTTTTTCAATTATTTGATTTAATGCGACTTTTTCAATTTTTGGATTTTTCATTTTTTCGACTTGCAGTTTTTCAATTTTTATTTTTTTTTTGTTTCTTCAATTTTACAATATGAATCTCTTCGAGTTTTCAGTTTCAGATTTTTCAGTATTCCGAGTTTTCAATTTTCAATTTATTGTTTCGGTTTTTTATTTTCCCAATTTTCGATATTTCGATGTTATGATTTTATCATTTTTTTTCAATGTGAAAATTTTCAATTTTTGGATTTTCCATTTTTTTCGATTTGAGTTTCTCGAGTTTTCGATTTTTAATTTTTCAATTTTTCGAATTACAATTTTTCCTTTCGGCTTTTTATTTTCTTGATTATAATTTTTTTTTCTCAATTTTAATTTTTTGAATTTTTCGGTTATTCAATTTTTCGATTTGCGATTTTTCAATTTTTCTTTTCTTATTTCTTTAATTTTTGAATTTAGCAATTTTTCGATTTTATAATTTTTTGGTTTTTCCATTTTCCAACTTTTGGATGTTTCAGTTTTTAGATTTTGTAATTTTTCGATTTACAATTTGACGAGTTTTTAAGTTTTAAATTTTTAAATTGTAGATTAATTTATCAAATTTTCAGTTTTCGTTTCGATTTTCCCAACTTTTGGATGTTCCATTTTTAGATTTTGCGATTTTTCGATATGTAATTTCACGAGTTTTCAATTTTCATGTTTTCAGTTCTTAGATTTTACAAATTTTCATTTCTTCAATTTTTCGAAGTTCTGATTTTATAACTTTTTTTCAATATGAAAATTTTCAGTTTTTGGATTTTTCATTTTTTCGATTTGAGTTTATTCAGCTTTCAATTTTTCGATTTGCAATTTTTCCTTCCGGTTTTTCCTTTGTATTTTTTCAAATATTTGATTTTTCAATGTCGTAAGTTTATACTTTATTCTTTTTTTAATTTTCCTTCTTTTATTTCTTGAATTTTTAGATTTAGTAATTTTTCGATTTAACTAATTTTTCGATTCTTTAACTTTTGTTTCTTCAAATTCCCGAATTTTCAGTGTTCCGATTTTATAATTTTTTGTTTTTTCATTTTTTAATGCGACTTTTTCAATTTTTGGATTTTTCATTTTTTCGACTTTTATTTTTTTTTTGTTTCTTCAATTTTACAATATGAATCTCTTCGAGTTTTCAGTTCCAGATTTTCAGTATTCCCATTTTCCAAATTTTGAATGTTTCAATTTTTAGATTTAGCGATTTTTCGATTTGTAATTTCACCAGTTTTCAATTTCCAATTTTTTGTTTCGGTTTTTTATTTTCCCAATTTTTCGATATTTCGATGTAATGATTTTATAACTTTTTTTCAATGTGAAAATTTTCAGTTTTTGGATTTTCCATTTTTTTCGATTTGAGTTTCTCGAGTTTTCGATTTTTAATTTTTCAATTTTTCGAATTACAATTTTTCCTTTCGGTTTTTTATTTTCTTGATCTTTTATATTATTTGAAAAATCAATGTTTCAAGTTTATAATTTTATGCTTTCCCAATTTTAATTTTTTGAATTTTTCGTTTATTCAATTTTTCGATTTGCGATTATTCAATTTTGCGTTTCGATTTTTATTTTTTTTTTCAATTTGTCGATTTTTTAGTGTTCTGATTTTACAGTTTTTCTTTTTTTCAAGTGAAAATTTTCAGTTTTTGGATTTTTCATTTTTTCGGTTTGAGTTTATCCAGTTTTCAATTTTTTGATTTGCAATTTTTCCTTCCGGTTTTTTCTTTTGTATTTTTTCAATTATTTGATTTTTCAATGTTGTAAGTTTATAATATATTTTTTTTTCAATTTTTCAATTTTTATTTTTTGAATTTTTAGATTTAGTAATTTTTCGATTTAATTAATTTTTCGATTCTTTGATTTTTCATTTCTTCAAATTCTCGATTTTTCAACGTTCCGATTTTATAATTTTTTGTCTTTTCAATTTCAATTTTTCATTATCCTTAAATTTTTCGTTTAAGTTTTTCTATTTTTGTTTTCAATTTTTGGATTTTTCAATGTTCTAATTTTATTGTTTTTCTTTTTTTAATTGGACTTGCAGTTTTTCAATTTTTATTTTTTTTTGTTTCTTCAATTTTACAATATGCATCTCTTCGAGTTTTCAGTTTCAGATTTTTCAGTATTCCGATTTTCCAAATTTTGGATGTTCCAATTTTTAGAATTGCGGTTTTTCTATTTGTAATTTCACCAGTTTTCAATTTTAAATTTTTTGTTTCGGTTTTTTATTTTCCCAATTTTTCGATATTTCGATGTAATGATTTTATAACTTTTTTTCAATGTGAAAATTTTGAATTTTTGGATTTTCTATTTTTTTCGATTTGAGTTTTTGGAGTTTTCGATTTTTAATTTTTCAATTTTTCGTATTACAATTTTTCCTTTCGGTTTTTTATTTTCTTGATCTTTTATATTATTTGAAAAATCAATGTTTCAAGTTTATAATTTTATGCTTTCTCAATTTTAATTTTTTGAATTTTTCGTTTATTCAATTTTTCGATTTGCGATTATTCAATTTTGCGTTTCGATTTTTTTTTTTCAATTTTACAATATGAATCTCTTCGAGTTTTCAGTTTCAGATTTTTCAGTATTCCAATTTTCCAAATTTTGGATGTTCCAATTTTTAGATTTTGCGATTTTTCAATTTGTAATTTCACGAGTTTTCAATTTTCAATTTTTTGTTTCTTTTTTTTATTTTCCCAATTTTTCGATATTTCGATGTTATGATTTTATAATTTTTTTCCAATGTGAAAATTTTCAGTTTTTGGATTTTCCATTTTTTTCCAATGAGTTTCTCGAGTTTTCGATTTTTAATTTTTCGAATTACAATTTTTTCTTTCGGTTTTTTATTTTTTTGATCTTTTCTATTATTTGAAATTTCAATGTTTCAAGTTTATAATTTTATGTTCTCTCAATTTTAATTTTTTCAATTTTCGTTTATTCAATTTTTCAATTTTTCTTTTTTTTCTTTAATTTTTAAATTTAGCAATTTTTCGATTTTTCAATTTTCCAACTATTGGATGTTTTAGTTTTTAGATTTTGTAATTTTTTGATTTGCAATTTGACGAATTTTTAATTTTTAATTTTTTAGATTGTAGATTAATTTATCAAATTTTCAGTTTTTCAATTTTTCGTTTCGATTTTTAATTTTTTTTTCAATTTGTCGGTTTTTGGTGTTCTGATTTTATAGTTTTTCTTTTTTTCAAGTGAAATTTTTCAATGTTTGGATTCATCATTTTTTCGATTTGTAGTTTTTGAATTTTTCTTTTTTTTTTTCAATTATACAATATGAATCTCTTTGAATTTTCATTTTAAAATTTTTCAATATTCCAATTTTCCAACTTTTGTAGTTTGTAGATGTTTTAAATTTTCATTTCTTCAATTTTCCGATTTACAATTTTTCGTTTTGATTTTTTACTTTCTCAATTTTTCGGTTTTTAGATTTTCAGATTTAATAACTTTGTGTGTAATTTTTCAGTTTTTGTATTTTTCAACTTACAGATTTTTTAATTTTTCGGTTTTTCAATTTTAGATCTTTCAGTTACTCGAATTTTCAATTTTTGATTTGCAATTCTTTTAGTTTTCATTTTAAATGTGCATTTAATAATAATTAGAATTTATTGTTAACATTTTTCAGTTTTTTAATTTTATGATTTTATCATTTTTTTATTTTTCAATTACATACTGGATTTTACTTTGTTTTAATTTTTCACTTTTTCGATCTTTCAGTCTCACAGTCTTTCAACTTTACAATTTTTCGTTTTTTCGATTTTCCGATTTTTAATTTTTCGGTTTTTCAACTATTCGGATCAAAAAAATGACAAAATCTAAAATGAAAACATTGAAAAATCTAAAATTGGAAATCAATAAATTGAAAAATTGAAGAAGCGAAAAATTGAAAAATCGAAGATTAAAAATTGAGAAACTTAAAAATCGAAAAAGTGCAAAATCGAAAAAAAAAGAAATATTGTAAAATCGAAATATTAATAATTGAAGAAATCGGAAAATTGAAAAACTGAAAAATTTAAATATTGGATAATTGAGGAATTGAAAAATCAAAGAACGAAAATTTGAAGAATTGATTAAATTAAAAATTGTAAAATCGAAAGAAACATTGAAAAAATAAAGGAAAAATTGGTCAGGGGTAAATAAATCCAAATTTTTCGAAAAATTACAAGGTTTGATTTTGAATATTATATTTTTTTATAACCCTTGTAAGTTAAATCAATACTACTATTATAGGTACTAATGTCAATTTTGATGATGACGTCATCAAATTTTTGATGGGGATGATTATCCAATTTTTGGCTAGTGTTTGCGCATCTACATTATAGTTCCAATATACATACAAAATTTGATATCAATCGGACGGACGGACGGACAGACAGACAGACAGACAGACAGACAGACAGACGGACGGACGGACGGAAACGGAAGACCTATTTTTTCGTATTCTAGGGGTAATGAAAGGTCCAGAAAAATAAGAGTAGGGAAGTAAAAAACATAAAATAGACGAATCGCAACGTTGCTACTTACTTTGCGCTGTTGTGTACCACGGGCCATGGCTGCAATCGTCAAAATAAGAGTCTCTTTGACTTTTTCAGGAAAATTGTCATTCTTTCGGTAGCGGTTGAGCAGATCCTTGACAATTTCTGGATTTGGATGAGTCGACATTGACAGCGCCCATAAGTAGCGTTCACTCAAGTCTAGGTGGTCCTCGCGGTCAAAGTGGACTTTCTTCATTACAATCTTGTGAGTTTCGGGGGTTTGAACGTAGCCCAAAATATCATAAATCTGAGGCCTGAAAAACACCACTAAAACAGCAAAAAAAGCAAAGAAAACACTCACAGAATCTTCTGGTTCTTCTTGGACCCCAAAACTTTCGAAACCTCTTCTTTGGAAGCCTTCCGTGCCACCTCCAAAATCTTCAAAAACGCTTTCGCAGACACCAAACTCCCTAAATTTTTCTCAGCTAGATTGTCCCTCAATTCGTTGACTATATTCGGGAAGGTTTTCCTCTCTTCGCCACCGATATCCTCTTTTTCCGTCAACAAAGTGTCTTCTTCGTGCCCGTTCATCACCAACTCGAGGACTTCCTCAAGACTCGGTCCTCTCAAAGTGTCCGTTTTTTCCTTTTTGACGAAGTTGAGGATTTGGTCGGCGTGCACCATGCTCCCGATGTCTTCTTTGACCGACGGTATCATCCGATGGGTTTCTTTTCCATATATGGTCTGGAAGTGGGTGAGTTGTGGGTCTAGTTCGTAGGTGGTTTGGCGCGTTGATGACACGATGACGTCCAGAAGTGAGTCGGGGGTTCGCACGAACGGTAGATCCGGGGAAAGACATCTCGTTTTGGTTTTCTGGAATTTGGTTGGATCGATCGTGTGGTAGGTGGTTTTGCAGAAGCCGGAGGAATCGGTTTCGTTCGTTTCTCCATCCAGAAGTTGGAACTAGAAACGAACAAATAAATTTTGATCGAATAACGAATGAGGCATCTTCGGAATGTTATTGCACCTACTACTAATTAAAAGCTGTATTGTTGTGGACGCAACTACTGGACATAAACGTAAATTGCGTAACAAATTGGAAACAATAAAATTAATGGGCTAGTCCTGAAGAGAACAATCGCTTTGTATCTAAGATTGATTCACACCCATTACCTGACCTCGTGGGTCTGATTTAAACTTCTACAAAACTGAAGCGGATTTCGTTCAAGACCAGTTTCCAAAAACAACGACACAAATAAAAGAAGAAGCATTAACTTAATTGGTAAACTTGTTCACGCCACTTTATAAAAAATAAAAATCGGGCACAACAGAATCCACTTAACGACAAATTTAACTTGCAAATGCCAAAAAAGGAACAACCAGTCCAAAATTGCAACGACACTCTAATTAAAACGTAAAAAGCACCAAACATCTAAATTCCGTGAACATCAAACACGACAGTGACAAAGGTGGAATCTTAAATACACAATCTACAAATCAAACAAACCAAATTCTTCGAATAACTATTACGTCAATCGGCGGGTAATTGACATGTCAAAAACGCGCACAATTTCGCAGCTCTTACCTGGAACAAACTCGCGATCCCCTTCTTCAGGTTCACCAGAGCCTTCGGATCCCCTTTCGGCAGAAGAATTTTCTCGATTCTTCCTCCTCTCCAGGCCACGTAGAACGGCTTCAAGGAAAAGCTCTCCAGCTTCGACGAGTGCTGGATGAAGCCATCAGGAGATGGGGCTTTCCTGGAGCGGATGAAGAGCTGTGGTGCTCTCAACTGCAAGACGGATTCGAATTAGAGAATCGTTATTTTGTTGTTTCACTAAGGCATAGAAATCCTCGGAAAATGCTACTAATGATTAAGTTTCTGATTATTAAATGTTTTTCAAAATTTTCCAAATTGTACTCTCAAAGACGATTTAACAAAAATTTTTCAACATTATTGACTAAATCATTTACTATTGGAAATAAATTTCAAATTTTCTGAGCCACTCTATTTGTACCATGAGCTACGCATGTAATGTTGATTAAGCGAAGAAAACATATTTTTAGGGTGTATGTAACAGCACCTGATGACATTAATGATTAATTCAACTGGAACTGGTTCCGGAAGAAAAAAGTTTGTTACAGCTTCATCAATCAGTTTTATCTTAGCAGGTACTAGCCCCGCCCACCCACCCTCTCTTTGCTTAGAGGGTATCTTATTTGCTAAAATCAGTCTTATCTGACTACTTAGTAGTAGGGTAGCTAGTACTTGCCAAAATAACTCTGATTTTGGCAAAGAAAAGAGAGGGTGGGTGGGCGGGGCTTGTCGTTGCTAAGATAAAACTGATATTGCCAAATGATATACCCCCTACTCTCTCTTTTAGTAGAGGGTATGCCATTTGCCAATATCGGTTCCGTTTTAGCAGGTACTAGCCCCGCCCACCCGCCCTCTATTTTCTTAGAGGAATTTTATTTGCGAAAATCAGTTTTATCTTAGCAGGTACTAGCCCCGCCCACCCACCCTCTCTTTTTTTAGAGGGTATCTCATTTACTAAAATCAGTCTTATCTGAGTAGGTACAAGCCATTTAAGAAAATAAAGGACGGTTGGGCGGATCTAGCACTTGCCAAAATGACTCTGATTTTGGCAAATGAGACACCCTCTAAGAAAAGAGAGGGTGGGTGGGCGGGGCTAGTCCTTGTTAAGATAAAACTGATATTGCCAAATCGCATACCCTCGAAGAAAATAAATGGTGGGTGGGCGGGGCCAATACTTGTCAAGATAAGACTGATTTTGCCAAGTGATATACCCTCTACACTTTATTTTCTTAGAGGGTATATTATTTGGCAAAATTAATCTTATCTTAGTAACTACTAGCCCCGCCCACCCACCCTCTCTTATTTTAGAAGGTAAGTCATTTACCAAAAATGGTCTTATTTTAGCAGTTATTAGCCCCATCCACCCACCCTCTTTTTTTTAGTGGATAAATCGTTAGTGAAAATCAGTTTTATCTTAGCAGGTACTAGCCCCGCCCACCCACCCTCTCTTTTTTAGAGGGTATCTCATTTGCCAAAATCAGTCTTATCTGAGCAGGTACCAGCTCTTTAAGAAAATAAAGGGCGGTTGGGCGGAGCTAGTACTTGCCAAAATAACTCTGATTTTGGCAAATGAGACACCCTCTAAGAAAAGAGAGGGTGGGTGGTCGGGGCTAGTCCTTGTTAAGATAAAACTGATATTGCCAAATCGCATACCCTCGAAGAAAATAAAGGGTGGGTGGGCGGGGTCAATACTTGTCAAGATAAGACTGATTTTGCCAAGTGCCTCTACACTTTATTTTCTTAGAGGGTATGTTATTTGGCAAAATTAATCTTATCTTAGTAACTACTAGCCCCGCCCACCCACCTTCTCTTATTTTAGAAGGTATGTCATTTACCAAAAATGATCTTATTTTAGCAGCTACTAACCCCACCCAACCACCCTCTTTTTTTTTAGACGATATATCATTTGCCAAAATCAGTTTTATCTTATCAAGTACTGATGATAATTATAGAAAAAATGATCAAAAGTTGGAAATATTACGAATTTACTCATATGCACAAGGCAGGAATTTTTAACATCTCTTCCAGTGTTTAGTTGGTTATGCTTTAATGGATTTTTCTTTTGTTAGTTTTGTTTTTGTTTATAATTTATAAATGTCTTATTAAATTTTGTTTGAGTTTATTTATTAATGAAAAATAACAGTTTGTTTTATTAATAATAATGCACAACGATTAATAACTACTGGTTCTTATGGCTATTTTTCTAGAAACATTTTTTTTATTATTTTTTGGGACTCTCGAAACCCTCGTACATAACGTACTGAAGAGTTAATCCGCCATTTTTCAGACACCCGGTATAATATTGTTACGTTTCACGGGTATTTTCAGATCGGCGTGGGTAAAATTGAAGAATTTATTTCTCAGTTATACTAATTTACACGATTAACTACACAGCGATTATGTACAGAATAATTCCGACTCGACTGGAATGGATTTGACTAGACTCAACTTCTCTCATTGTCTGGACGTCAGCATTGCCGTGCATACTAGAAAACTCTCGACGGCCTATAAGCGTTGTACCGGGGTGGCATATGGGTTTATTTCGTAACAATATATTGCCTCATTTTTGATTTTTTTGAGTCATCCTGTATAAGAAATTAAAAAATCCATGAATCCATTCATAAACCACATGTATAAAATCATAATACATATTTTAGATAATATTTATTCGACAAAATTTTGAGATGACGTCATTAATTTTTTGAATTTCCAAAGCTGGCGATTGCAAAATGTTATAAAATTTTGATTTTTTTATCCAAAAACCTGTATATCTAGAGTACAAACAACACGGATTCATGAACCCCAAGTGCCGGAGTACTTGCTCTAGAAGAATTATCTTTGAAAAAAACGATATTGGCGCTGAAATTTTAGAGAGGGGAAAAATAATGAATCAAAAAATTGAAAACTAGAAAAACGAATCCAAACGAAAAATCCTCTAAATTTTGGTTGGATGGTTTTGGTGTTTTGAGGATATGAGGATTTGAAGGATTTGAAGATTTGAGAATTTTGGTGTTTCGAGCATTTGAGGATTTAGTTGTTTTGAGGATTTCGGTGTCTTGAGTATTTGAGGATTTTGTTGTTTTGAGGATTTGAGGATTCTAAGGATTTGAGAATTTGAGGATTTGAGTGTTTTGAGCATTTGAGAATTAGTTGTTTTGAGGATTTAGGGATTGTCATGTTTTAAAGATTTGAGGATTTTGGTATTTTGAGGATTTCGGTGTTTTGAGTATTTGAGGATTTTGTTGTTTTGAGAATTTTGATGTTTTGAGGATTTGAGGATTATGAGGATTTGAGAATTTGAGGATTTTGGTGTTTTGAGGACTTGAGGATTTTGGTGTTTTGGATTTGAGAATTTTGCTGTTTTTTTGGATTTGGGAAGTGTAAAATCGAAAAATTATACATTCGTCAAAATTGCAAACTCGAAAAATTGTAATATATCGAGAAATTGAAAAGTTAAAAAATACAAACATTAAAAATCGAAAAACCAAAAAATCGGAAAAAATTGAAAACTCGAAAAACTGAAAAAACGAAAAATTGCAAAATAGAAAAAACTGTGAAATCGAAAAATTATAAATCAAAGAACTGAGGTACCGACATATGGAAACATTGAAAAACTAAACATCGAGAAAGTTAACTTAAAAACCGAAAAAATAATAATGAATTAAAAAATTGGAAATTTTGAAAAAACGATTCCAAACGAAAGACTAAATTTTGGTTGGAAGATTTTGGTGTTTTGAGGATATGAGGATTTTAAGGATTTGAAGATTTGAGATTTTAGTGTTTTGTGCATTTGAGGATTTAGTTGTTTTGACGATGTGCGGATTTTGGTATTTTGAAGATTTGAATATTTTGATGTTTTGGCGATTTGAGGATTCTGAGGATTTGAGAATTTGAGTATTCTGTTGTTTTGAATATTTGAAGATTTTGCTGTTTTGAGGATTTGAGGATTTTAGTGTTTTGAGGATTTGAGGATTTTAGTGTTTTAAGGATTTGAGGATTTTTGTTTGGTGTTTTGAGGATATGAGGATTTTGGTGTTTTAGGTAGTCGAGGATTTTGGTGTTTTGAGGATTTTCGTGTTTTTTGGATTTGAGGATTTTGCAGTTTTTTGGAGTTGAGAAATAACTGTAAAATCGAAAAATTATAGAATCGTCAAAATTGTGAAGTCGAAAAACTGTGATATATCGAGAAATTGAAAAATTTAAAGAGAGGAAAGTTAAAAATCGAAAAACCAAAAAATCGGAAAAAATGAAAACTCGAAAAACTGAAAAAACAAAAAGCTGCAAAATAGAAAAACATCGAAAATTTGGATTTGGATTTTTCGGGTCGAAATGGTTTTGTTAGAAAATTTTGCTGTGGAAAATTTCTGATCCGCTACCAAAAAATCGTGAACCCGCATTACATAATTTTTTATTGAGGTCTAAATTAAAAGGAAGAAGTTAAGATGATTTTAAGAATTCAAACACGAAATTAAGTTATAGCTATACGTGTTCAAAATTGCAAAAAATCTTGTATATAACACGTTGCAAAACTCCGCTTTTTTTGCAGACGACGTATACACCCAGTTAGTACGAAGTTAATTCTTCAAATTTGAAGTTTAATATTTTCAAAAATTTGGTTTAAGGATTTTTTTACCATCGAGCTTTTCCGTCATTTTTGCATAACCTTGGATGAACTTAAATCTTATAGGTCTACACTAGAATTTAGGTAAAGTGGCAAATTAAAAAAATTAAGAAGGATCCAAAAAGGTAATTAACCCCATTGAAGATGAAAGTCTACTAAGATAATTTTTTTTTGGTTTAAAATTTTTGGATGGCAGTCCTAGAAAAATGTTGTTTACAAATTACACTCCCAGGAACATTAGTTCTAGATATTTATCCTCATGATTTTTTAAATTGGGCTTAAGAGGGGGCTCTGAAAACAAAAGATGTAAAAGATGTAGGGCCTAGTTCAATTAGTTTAACCTCAATTTGTGCCCTACGCCCTTCACATCTTTTGTTTCGTCCCCTATGTGAAATTTAAAAAATTGTACGGTATTTATAACATTGTTACCATATCAACTATCATAACAAGGTTGTTTCTTATCAACAACACTAGAGTGGTCAGCAAATAATTATCTTAACGGTGCCTTTAACAGTGTCCAGACTATTAGTGTCATTATCATTATCAGCTTACATATTATTAGAAATTCTCGTGA